TCTAGCTGAGGAATAATTCAGATAGGGAAAATTAGCATTTGCCCTAGGAAGTCTTTTAGAAAACTCTCTGTTAATGTGGAGTTTCTTCATTTGAATCTGTAAATAGAGGAATACTGAAAATGAGTTTCACTCAGTTCATTGGGCTACATTTAAGTTTTAATTTCTTTGAAATTCTACTTTGGGACAGTGATTAGTAAATTAGACCTTTAATGACTTGAAAGAAATAGAGTATGTAGTGGCTAATTTATACTCATATAGTCATTCAGACATGAGAAGATTCTGGTTCCATAAATACTGAATCCTTAAAAAGGAATTTTTACGTGTAGTCACTCAGTGATTTTTGGCTGCATGATACTTTGTTTTTTAATCATCCTTGCTCTCCTGATAAGGAGGCTGGTGGTGCAGTGGTTAAAGTGTTCAGCTGCTAACCAAAAGGTCAGCAGTTTGAACCCACCAGCGTCTCCACTGAAGAAAGATGTGGTAGTCTCCTTCTGTGAAGATTTCAGCCTTGGAAACCCTATGGAGCGATTCTAACTTTGTCCTCTAGGGTTGCCATCAGTCAGAATCCACTTCATGGAAATAGGTTTGGTTTGGATTTTTGGCTCTCCGTGCTTACAGACTCTCCATCAGACTGTGGATATGGAATAGGGAGAATAAGGAGAAAAACTTTCTAATAAGAGTCAGCGATCCTTTGGAGAATGGGCAAGGAGGAGGATGGGAAGAGTGGAATGAAATTGGAAAATCAGATTGAAAAATTAATAGAACTTTTGCTTAAAGAGCCAAAATAGAAAATGTTTCTTGATAAGCTTTTTAACTTGAGAGAATAAAGACCTTATTCATTAACATCCAGTAGTGACAAATAAGATGTTTATATATTACATCTAAGTATGGAATGGAAAGAAAAAGAAATATATGAACACTTGGAACCACAGCTAGAGGACTATAAAGTAAGAATTTTTTTAAAAATTAAAAGTTATGAAGGAAGTTGTAAAAATGTGCTGAGATGAGTACACACATGTGTTGTCAGATATCAAATACATGTGTGCTGTCAATAACATTCATACTTGCTTCTCCCCACAGTGAAAGATTCCCTTTTAAAAATTCAAATTCAGGAATTTCTCAAATAAGTGTTGTTTGGCTTTGGTTTTACCGTCTAATATTTTGCACCCAAACTACTATACCTATAATTGGGAAACTATTACCAGATTATTTGCGAAAGTCTTGAAAAGTTGTGACTGAAATGGTTAGTTCCAGTTACTATCTACATAGAGTTCATGTCAGCTCATGGTGACCCCATGTGTGGCCAGTAGAACTGTATTACATGGGTTTTCAAGGGCATAGTTTTCAGCAGCACATCACCAGGCCTTTCTGGTTTGGCTCCAAACTCCAGCCTTTTGGTTAGCAGCTGAGAAGGAAATCATTAGTGCCACCCAGGGCACCTATTTATTTTTCAATATAGCCCTCTAGAAGTATTTTGCTAAATTTAAAAAGTTGTCAGAAACTTCTACGTTGTTTCAGTATCTCTCTGGTGTTTAAAAAGCACTAGAATTTTAAAATTCCTCTCTCTTCCTTATACTTACATCAACTAAATTTTTAAAAAATGATTTACAATAAAATACGTTAATTTGTTAAGTGCCATCAAGTTAGTTTCAACTCCTAATGGGCTTCTAAGGAGCCGCTAGTGGATTTGAACTGCCAACCTTGCAGTTAGCAGTCCTGTACTTATCGTATAGCGCCATACCAGTACTGACCTTTTAATTTTATGGGGAGCTACCCAGAGGCTAGGAAATGATTTTAAACAGTTGAGTGTATTTTTTTTTCTTTTATTTATTAAATAGCTTTTTCTGTATATAATTATTTTTAAAGTTTTTTGAAAAAGAAACTTAATTCTGTGACTTAGTTTGCCTGTTTTTAATAATGACAATGAAGCAATGAAATTCGCACTTGGATAGCATGAAATTAAGCCAAGGATTAGAAATTCTTCACTCTCAGTTGGGTGGTCCAGGGCCATAGGGATTGACTGCAGCTGTGCAGGTGTGGCCAGCCTGAGAACAATGCTTTCCTAGTACTTGTTGGATGAGGGTGATAGGAAGTATCATTTTGTGATGAAGTAATACTAGTGAAGCTCTCGTAATTTTAACATGCCTAATAAAATGCTCTGGAGTCCTGGTGTGGCGCTGTGGGTTAATGCGCCAGACGTCAAAGCCGTTTGAACTGCAAGGTCGGCAGTTCAAGCTCACCAGCTGCTCCTTGGAAACCCTATACAGGGTCGCTATGGATCTACGCTGACTTGACGGCACTTCACAACAACAATAAAGTGCTCTAGAATTTGTGAACATTATTCAGTTTCATTTTTTTCTCTAAAATCAATAACAAAGGCCCCAATTCCATTATACATATTTTGATCTCATTGGTATGTGATCAATTAAAAAAAGAAACTTCTCTAATGTATTTTACTACTCAGATAGTGAGATTTAAATTTTCTACATATTCTTTCTCTTATTTATTTACTAATTTTTGCCAAACATTATCTTGTAGAATGAAACAAAATTTTTACTTCTTTGCTCCAGCCTAGAGTAAATCACTTTTAATAGTTTGGTATGTATTTCCAAATATTTTCCCATCATGGAAAGCTCTCCATGAAAATAAATATAATTCTAACTCATGGTTTTTAATGACTGCATTGTATTTTAAAGCATAAATGTGTCATCATTTGTTTACTATTGATGTGGTGGTGGTGGTGGTTACATGCTGTGGAGTTGGTTCTGACTCATAGCGACCCTGTACAGGGTTTCCAAGGCTATAAATCTTTACGGGAGCAGAAAGCCTCCTCTTTCTCCTGTGGAACAGCTGTTAATTTTGAACTGCTGACCCTGAGATTAGCAGCCTGATTCGTAACCACTACACTACCAGAGCTATTATTGATATACATTTGGGTTATTTCTAGTTTTATAAATCATGTTATTAAGTGAAACCATCTAGTCACTTTCAACTCACAGTGACCCTGTATAGGGTTTCCAGGACTGGCTACTGACTTGAGCTGACCTTGTGGTTCAAACTGACCTTGTAGTCCAGTGAATTAACCTGCAGTGCCACACCAGGACACCTTATAAATAATATACTCTTGTAGTGTAGTGGTTACGAATCGGGATACGTACCTCAGGGTCAGCAGTTCAAATCTACCAGGTGTTCCGCGGGAGAAAGATGAGGCTTTCTGCTATGTAAAGATTTACAGCCTCGGAAACCCTATACAGGGTCGCTATGAGTTGGAACGGAGTCTATGGCACATAACCACCACTACTGTAATTGATTATAATTAATATGACAATGAGATTTGTTGTGTATATGTTTTGCATATGTATAGCTATTTGATACATATATATATAAGTGAAATCACTGAATCAAAGAATAGACTTAGAATTTAAATATATATGGTTGAGTTATATTTTTTCTTTTTCAAAATTATATTCAAATTTATAATTTTAACAGAAACTTTAGACAATGATGTTAGATATAAATAATAAAAGATAACATTGTCTGGACACTTGTTTACTTTCTTTTTCTTATATAGACAGTTTATTAAATATGGACTTCTGTAGTCCTGGTGTGGCACTGTACGGTAAACACTGACCTGCAAGGTTGGTTTGAACTGCAAAGCCATTGGTTCAAATCCACCAGCTGCTCAGAAGGTCGCTATGAGTCTGAGCCAAGTCGACGGCACTACACAACAAAATAATTTGTGATGCTTTCTTCAACATTTATATAAGTTACCTCCTGAAAGTCTATAGAAATAGATGTCCTTCCCCCAAGTAGTATATGAAAACGACATTTTCCTGTATCTTTGCTAATATTAGATATCATGAGTTCTTATATCCTTTGGCTATCTGAACTATTGTATTGTTTTAAATTATATTCCTGTAATTAAAAATGGGGTTGTATTTTAAAAGTTATACTTATTGGTCATTTTTTTATCTTATGATTTGCCTTTTCAACTTTTTTTTGCTTAGACTTACTTTTTCTTGTTGCTGTTAAGTGCCGTTGAGTTGGTTTCGACTCATAGTGACCCTATAGAGTTTCCATGGAGCGGCTGGTGAGTTTGAACCACCGACCTTGTGGTTCAAACCGATCTTTTGGTGGAGCACTTATTATACAGCAGCACACCAGGACTCCATAAATGAGCTTCTTTGACTGGGAATCGAACCTGGGCCATAGCGGTGAAAGCGGCAAAGCCTAGTCACTTTTAGGACCTTTTAAAATATTAAAACATTGCTTAGTATGTTGCAGATAATGAATGTCTCCTAGTTTGTCATTTATATTTTGTTTATCATGTTTGTCATACAGTTTTCCATTTCAAATAGTTACAAGTTTAAAAAAATGTTTTGTTTGTAACTTCGAGATTTTGTCATATTTTAGGAAGGCACTCATCATCCCAAGATAATGAACAGCTTTCCTCCTAATACTATTTTAGTCAAAATAATATGTTAGCTCTTTTATCAATTTGTAGTTACTTTTTTGTAAAGGGTGAGGTAATATTCCTACATGAATATTAAATTACCCCAATGTTCTTTATTAAATGTCTGTGTTTTCCTCATTAATTTAAAATTCTTTGTGATCTTAATTCCTATATATTTGTGCATCTGTTTATATGTTGTCTACTGGAATCCTGGTGTGGTACTGTAGGATAAGTACTGGACTGCTAGCTGGAAGGTCAGGGATTTGCATCTGCCATCCACTCCTTGGAAACCGTATACAAGGTCACTAACTCAACACTTGAAAACTGTTCTCTTGATTTGTTACTACTCAGGCATACTGTTTGATATCTGGTAGGGAAATCCTCTCTTAATTCTTAATCTTAAGCATTATTTACTTTTCCAGGACAACTTTACAATCTGTCAAGCATTGTCTTAATGCTTTAGATAGTATTTTATACCTTTGGTTTTATTTCAATGAATGATTCATTTATTTAGAAATTGTTTGTTTCTCTTACATTTCAGAGTCCTGCTTATGGAAATTCAAACGAGTCAGTTCAGTCTAGAAGGGTAGTCATTTCTCATAACATGGATAAAGCTCTGAAAGAAGGTAAGGATTCAGTGATAGCATATCAATATTGTATAAAGCAATGCTGTGTGTTCTGAACGTGCAATAATAATCTCTAGCAGGTTTGTTTAATCTTCTTGTCTCCATATAGTATTAGGAGTTTTTTTCTTCATGTGTTTATACTTGATGACTAAATAGATCAGTCTCCATGTTTTGGTTGAATAGCAGATAATCACACATTTATTGAGTAGATATTTCTGATAACGTGAAGCTAGACAGGCATGTGGAACTAATTTCACCGTATGAAGCAAGGATCTGTTCTCTGTTTCCTAAGATAGCTATCAGGAATGATTTTTGTTTTCTTTTGGGTATAACCTAAGAGGGATTGGGATTCATGTGCTCAGGCTCACTCATGGACAATCAAATCAAATCAACCAAATTAAGGGATAGTAGTCAATTATAAAGAAGAATTAAGGATAATATTTTTCCACAGAGTTCCTAATTGTGACATTTTAACCACTAAATGCACTCAGATCTCATTAGATCTAATATTGAGTATTCACTATTTGCTCAATAGTGTCCTGGGTATTAAATTGTAAATTCTTGATTTGAAAATGATTCTTTATAAAATCTTATCCATTTAAAAACATTGCAGATACTGACTTCAGTACTTTATAAAATAATTTCTGAATTTCTGGGAAATATTCGTACTTTCATTACTTTTTATAGTGGTTTTTAAAAGGTGTAGCTAATGTTGCATTTACATTTATTTCAAAAGTGAACACATTTCTTTTAGTTTCAATTGACTCTTAATACTTGTCTGAATTTAAGCGGTAAATGTCTATTTTCACAAGTAGTTCAGGCTATGCAAAAGACCACAATTTGAAAACACTAATGATAACAGAAGACATACTGCAAGGCCAACAGGTACGGAATTTGATCTTCTTTGGAACGTGCCCTAGATATGGGAACCTAATGTGGTCAAACTCTATTAGATTCAATCTGTGACCAATTCTAAAGGATGTCAGAGTGTCCAGTGAGTAGATGCGGACACAGAGGAAGCCTGCCGTGTACCTGAAAGACTGTCACTTCTCCTGCCCTTTTGTGCTCACTTTACCTGGTGGCATGTGATTCATACAATTCTTTCTGATGAATGAATTAACAGACCAGTTAATGACACAAACTAATAACCTCATATCTTCCTAGCCAGTAACTTGGGTTCCATACAGAGATAGAAATTCTTAATTGCATTTAAAAGCTTTGCAAACCATAAAAACCATCTAAGTGAATAGTGGAATTTTTGCTGTACTGTTCCTGGTTGAGGGAGCACAGTAGCTCCATGTGATAAGCACTAGACTGTGAACCACAAGGTGCATGGTTTGAGCTCACCAGCCACTCTGCAGAAGAAAGATGGAACTTTCTGCTCCTGCAAAGATTTAAAAACTCAGAAACCCCTATACAGGGTCACTATGAGTCAGAATCATTTTAACAGCACTTAACAACAAGAGCCTGGTTGAATGAGGACTATTTCTGCCTTCTAAGCTATCTGTGTTCAGTAACCTCATATGCATCTGAAAGTTGGACAGTGAATGAGGAAGACTGTAGAAGAATTGATGCTTTTGAGTTATGGTGGTGGAGGAGAATATTGAAAGTGCCGTGGGCTGCCAAAAGAACCAACAGATCTGTGTTGGAAGAAGTGCAGCTAGAGTGCTCCTTGGCCAAACTTCATCTCTCCTACTTCATACATATTGTCAGGAGGGACCAGTCCCTGGAGAAGGATATTATGTTTGGTAAGGTGGAAGGTCAGAGAAAAAGAGGAAGACCCCCAGTGAGATGGATTGGCAAAGTGGCAGCATGAGTGGGCTCAGGCGTGGCAACAATTGTGAGGTAGGCCCAGGATTGGGCAGTGTTTTGTTCTGTTGTGCATAGGGTCGCTATAAGTCAGTACCAACTCGATGGCACCTAAAAACAACAACAAGAAGAAGCTATCTGGATAGGCCATGGATATTTATGAGACAGAGTTGAATGTATCTTTGAATTTTTCTTAGGAAAGGCTGGGGTGAAAAAAATGGCTCTGTTCTCTCTTTGCTTATACTGTTTGTTTAGCTTGAGTTTCCTTGTTCTGAAAATTTAGAGTTGGAGATTACATAATATCACATACTCTGGACTAACATGGGAGCCTTATAAGTGTCTCTGAATATCAAGTTTTTCTTCAATTTCTTAACATCTTTTCACGTTAATCTACCAAAAACTGAAGTTCCAATCAAGTTATTTCATTCTTTTAAATCTTTGGTGGTTCTCCTTTACCTATTGATTCCTTTGAGAATAGCCCTAGAAAATAGATTTGAGGAATAACTGCCCCTGAATTTTTGTTGCCTTTCGTTACGCTTTAAAAGAACGACTTGTTCCTGGCAGTGAAGATGGTGGTGGTGGTGGTGGTGTGCTGTGGAGTGGATTCCGACTCATAGTGTATAGGGTTTCTGAGGTTGTAAATTTTTACTGGAATAGAAAGCCTTATCTTTTTCTCTTGCGGAGATGCTGGTAGATTTGAACTGCTGATCTTGTGGTTAACAGATAATGTGGCTTCATTTCTTACTGTAGTTAATTATGTTCATTTATTCTTCCTTAATAATTATTTTATTTCTGAATAAATCCAGTGCAATCCAGCAGATTGTGATTCATAATGACCCTGTAGTGTAGAGTAGAGCTGCCCCATAGGGTTTCCAAGACAGCACTGTAGGATAAGCACTGGACTGCCAACTGGTTGTTCAGTGATTCAAACCTACCAGTTGTTTCTCAGAAACCCAATACAGAGTTATTCTGAGTTGTAACCAACTTGATGACACTTAACAACAACAGCAAATCTCTACGGATGCTGATTGCCACATCTCTCTTCTGCAGAGTGGCTGGTGAGTTGGAACTGCTGACCTTCTGTTTAGCAGCTGAGCACTTAACTACTGCATCACTAGGGTTCTTTCTGGGTTTTTTTCTTAATAAAGACCATAAAATAATTTCATTATTTTTCTGTCTTGTTAAGTTGACCTATAGTGTAATATTTAAAAACATATTGTTGCATGTGTACCTATATAAATGAGCTTATGCAGTTATATAATACATATTTAGGATCAAGACTTTTTTATACTTTTATACTTAGATTATACATACTTTTATGAATATATTTCTGTGATACTTAGCTTGAAAAGGGATGTTGATAATAGAAGATATGCCCGTGATTAACCCTGTCTCTATTAATGAGAACAGATTTATATGGGTATTCATTTTTATCAGTTCCTAATGGAAGCTATTGTCCTAAGAGTATATAGAGCTGTATGAAATAACATGAAGAAAGCCTGGTTGTACTGTGATAAAATACTGAAGCAGTTCAAACCCACCAGCTTCTCTAAAAGAGAAAGATGTGACAGTCTGCTTCTATAAAGATTTACAAGCATAGGAAACCTATGGGGAAGTTCTACTTTATAGGGTCACTATGACTTGGAGTTGACTCATTAGCATTAGGGTTTTATTAATATATGCAGAGTAGTTAACAAATGTATTGGGACATTTTGGAGGTAAATGCATCTTAAGCTTTTAGCTTGTGCAATATGTTATTTTAAAGACATGAAGATCTCTGATTCAGGAGAAAGATGAGGCCTTTTGTCCCTGCAAGATTTACAGCCTAGGAAACCCTATACTGGGTCACTAAGAGTCAGAACTGATTCCATGGCCTTTAAGACTAACAAGATCTTATATGATTGCTCTTAAATTTCCTACCTGTTATAAGCTAAAATTAAAATTGAAATTGAAATTAAATTTTAACAAAAAGCAAAAATGCTTCTATTTCCAAACATTTGAGCTGCAGGTTTATTTGCAAAAATGTGCTGAATAGAAAAAATATTTGACTGGCAAACAGGAGACTTGGCTTTGTCACCTATTTAATTTTGAACTAGTTATTTCACTTCATTTGGCATCAATTTCCTTAGGAGATCAAACTAAATTATTGTGTAGGAACTATGATCTGTTTGTTTGTTGCCAAAAGTGAGATTATTGGATTGGTCCATTTTGTGGGTTTTTTTGGTGTTAATTTCTTCCATCTGGATTAGAAACGTTATCTGTTTTCTCCTTAGTGAACTGTTGTTTTAGTTAGGTGTCTTTAAGTCAACTCAGACTCTCAGAATCCTGTGCCCAACAGTGCGAAACACTTCCTGGTCCTGCATCATCCTCACAATTGTTATGTTTGAGACTATTGTTGCAGTCATTGGGTCAGTCCATCTTGTTGGGAGGGCCTTCTTCTTTTTCAGTGACTTCTGTTTTATCAAGTACGGTGTCCTTTTCCCGGGTCTGGTCCCTGCTGATATCATGTCCAAAGTACATAAGGCAAAGTCTTGCCATCCTCGCTTCTAAGGAGTATTCTAGTTGTGCTTCTTCCAAGACAAATATGATCTGTGGTATTTTCAGTGTTCTTTACTAACACCATAATTCAAATGCATCAGTTATTCTCTAGTCTTTCTTATTCATTGTCTAGTTTTCACAAGCATATGAGTCAGTTGAAAATACCAATGCTTGTGTCAGCCACATGTTCTCAAAATGACATCTTTGCTCTTTAGCATCTTAATAAATAAGTATTTTGCAGAAGATTTGCCCAGTGTAATAAATCATTTGATTTCTTGACTGCTGCTTCCATGAGCTTTGATTGTGGATCCAAGCAAAATGAAATCTTTCACAATTTTAATCTTCTCTCCATTTATCATGATGTTATTTATTAGTCCAGTTGTATTTTTTTTTTTTCTCTTTACATTGAGTTGTAATCCACACTAAGGCTGTATGTAGTGTTTGATCTTCATCAGTAAGTGCTTCATGTCTTCTTTGCTTCCAGCAAGCAACGTGTATCATCTGCATATCACAGGTTGCTAATGAACCCAATACTGATGTCATATTCTTCTACACAAAATCAAGCTTCTCACATTATTTCTTCAGCATACAGATTGAAAAAGTATGGTGAAAGGATACAACACTCGTTGCAGACCTTCCCTTAATGTAAACCATTCAGTATCCCCTTGTTCTGTTTGAAAGCATTCCTCTTAGTCTATGTACAGGTTTTCATGAGCAAATGAAAACATGTAGTTTGTTGTGATCCACACAGTCGAATACCTTTGCATAGCCACTGAAGCACAGGTATTCTGGTATTCTCTGCTTTCAGCTAGGATCTATCTGACATCAGTAATTATATCCCACATTCCACATTCTCTTTTGAATCCAGCTTTGATTTCTGTCACCTCCCTGCTGATAGGATATAATGTTGCAGCCATTTTTTAATTAACTTAATTCAAAAAGTAAGTAAACATTTACTTGCAGGTGATATTAATGATACTGCTAAATGATTTTTACATCCTGTTGGGTCACCTTTCTTAGGAATGAGAACAAATGTGAATCTCTTTCAATCAGTTAGCCACATAGCTGTCTTAGAAATGTCTTGGCATAGACGAGTGAGCACTTCATGCTGCATCAGTTTGTGGAAACATTTCCATTTGCATTCTGTCAATTCCTGGAGCCTGGTTTTCATCAGTGCTTTCACTGCAGCTCTGACTTTTTCTTTCAGTACCATCTGTTCTGTACCATCTTCCTTCAGTAACATATGCTACCTTTTAAAAAGATTGAACATTGATCAGTTCTTTTTAGAACAGTGATTCTTGTGTATTCTTTCCATCCTCTTTTGATGCTTCCTGTATCATTCATTATTTTGCTTATAGTTGTTGCTGTTGTTGTTTGCTGAAATACAGATTGAATAAGCACGGTAAAAGAATACAACCCTGGCTCACACCTTTCCTAATTTAAAACCATTTGGTGTTCCTTGTTCTGTTTAAACAACTGCTTCTTGGTCTATGTACAGGTTCCTCATGAGCACAATTTAATGTTCTGGAATACTCATTCTCTGCAGTGTTGTCCATAGCTTGTCATGATCCACAATTGAAAGCCTTTGCATAGTCAACAATGCACTGGTAAACATCTTTCTGATATTCTCTTCTTTCAGCCAAGATCTATCTGATGTCAGCAGTGATATCCCTCATTCCACGTCATCATCTGAATCTGGCTTGAACCTCTGGAAGTTCTCTGTCAATGTATGGTTGCAGCTGTTTTGGAACTATGTTTAGCAAAATTTTGCTTACCCGGGATATTAATGAGATTAGTTCGATGATTTCCGCATTCTGTTGGGTCACCTCTCTTTGGAATGGGCACAAATGATTTCCGCATTCTGTTGGGTCACCTCTCTTTGGAATGGTCAGATGGCTATCATCCAAATATCTTGGCATAGATGAGTGGATGCCACCAGTGCTGTATCAATTTGTTGACAGATTTCAGTTTGTATTTTATCAGTCCCTGGAGCCCTGTTCTTTGCCATTGCCGTCAATGCACCTTGGGCTTCTTTCAGTATCATTGGCTCTTGATTATATGCTACCTCTTCAAATGGTGGAACATCAACCATCTCTTTCTGGTTTAGTGACTCTGTGTATACCTTCCATCTTCTTTGAGTGCTTTCTGCATCATTCATTGTTTTGCCCATAGAGTCCTTCAATATTGCAAGATGAGGCTTGAATTTTTTCTTCAGTTCCCTCAGCTTGATGAATGCTGAGTGTGGATTTCCCTTTTGGTTTTCCAACTCCAGGTATTTGCACATGTCTTTGTCTTCTCGAGCTGCCTTTTGAAATTCTCTATTCAGCTCTTTTACTTCTTCATTTCTTCCATGTGCTTTAACATCTCTACACTGAAAAGCAAGTTTTAGAGTCTCATTTGACATCCATTTTCGTCTTTTCCTTCTTTCTTGTCTTACTGACTTTTTGCTTTCTTCCTGTATGATGTTCTTGATGTCATCCCACAATTCTGTGATCTTTGGTCTTTAGTGTGTAATGCATCAAATCTGTTCTTGAGATGATCTCTGAAATCAGGTAGGGTATGTTCAAAGTCATATTTAGACTCTTGTGGACTTGTTTTAATTTTCTTCAGTTTCAGCCTGAATTTGCATAGGAACAATTGATGGTCTGCGCCACAGTCTGCCCTTGGCCTTATTTTGACTGGTTTTGTGGAGCTTTTCCACTGTCTCTTTCCACAGATGTAGTTAATTTGATTTTCATATATTCCATAGGGTGAGGTCCATGTGTACAGTCATTCCCTTATGATGTTCAAAAAAGATGTTTGAAATGAACAAATCATTGGTTTTGCAGAATTCTGTCATGTGATATACAGCATCATTTCTATCACCAAGACCATATTTTCCACCTACTGATCCTTCCTCTTTGTTTTCAAACTTTGCATTCCTATTGCCAGTAATCATCCCACCACTCGTCCGTCAGTTGTTGGACTGCCGTGGCTTGTGTGTTACTGTGATTCTGGAAGCCATGCCATGGGTATTTTAAATACCAACAGGGTTACCCACAGTGCACAGGTTTCAGCTGAGCTTCCAGATGAAGACAGACTAGGAAGAAGGAGAGATGGACAATCCGAATATTCAGTCACTGAAAATAAGAGTGGAACACTATCAGCACCAGAATATTGGCTATAGAAATCCTACAATATTAAAAGTCAAGGCTTGAATTTTTTCCTTTCAACTTGATAAACACTGTGTTTCTTCCCTTTTGGTTTTCTAACTCCAGTACATTTCATTATAATATATTTCACCTTGTCTTTTCTAGCTGTCCTTTGAAATTTTCTATTCAGCTGTTTTACTTTCTTATTTCCTCCAGTTGCTTTAGCTTCTCTACACTTAAGAATAAATTTCAGAGTCTTGTCTGACTAGACTGAATTTTGGTATTTTCTTTCTTTCCTGTGTTTCTGTTGTCCTTTTGCTTTCTTCCTTTGTGATATTCTTAATAGTATCCCATATCTCTGCTTGTCTAATAGTCACTAGTGTCTATTAGCAGTCTTGAGATGGTTTGTAAATTCAGTTGGGATATAGTCATGGTCATATTTTTCCTCTTGTGGACTTGTTTTAATTTTCTTGAACTTCCAACTGAATGTACATATGAGTAGGTTCCACCAGTGGCTCAATACCAACATTCAAAACAAGACCCTCTGGTATTTAAAATACTGGTGGCATAACTTTCAGCAGCAATATACAAGGCAACACAGTACAACAAACTGACTGATGAGTGGTGGGAAGAACACATTAGGAGGAGTAAATTTGGAATAGGGGCCTCTTTTTCTTACTCTAGGACTGAGATCCTGGCCTCACCTCAAAGTGGGTAGCCATAGCCAACTGGATATTAAATTCATGTATTGAGAATTCAGGCTGGATTGGAGGGGATGCACCCAAATGGTGATTGCAGAGTTTTCTGGGACACTTCCCTATAGGTGCTGTTGGAACTTGCTAGCATTGTTACTGGTTTGCATGCTGTAAATTCCAGATAGGAACCAAAAGGAGACTTCTCTCTCTTTTTTAGTATGTCCCATCAACATCCTTTCTGGACAAAACTAATGTACAAGCTGTCAAAGAGCAAATGCTTACAGGGTGAGTATCATAAGGCAGGCAGAGAAGGATGATTTGGAACTGAGAGACAAAAAACTGCTAACTGGCACATTCTGTGGTGTGTTGTCACTCTTGTCAGATGGTCGATTATTTTATCCAAAAATCCAGTTAGTTTGGAGCCAAAATACGCTTTTAAAAAAAATTGTACTCTTCAAGACAATTCAGAACACGAAGTCATCATCCTTCAAGCATTCTAGTTAGGTGAAAATCTTCAATTTTAAAAGATCTTAGAAGGAAAGATTACTTTTCTTGAGTTCTGTTTTCTACTCTCTTTATGCTTTGTTGTTGTTGTTGTTATGTGCCGTGGAGTCAGTTCCGACTCATAGCGACCCTGTACAGGGTTTCCGAGGCTGTAAATCTTTACAGGAGCAGAAAGCCTCATCTTTCTCCCACGGAACAGCTGGTAGTTTCGAACTGCTGACCTTGCGGTTCGCAGCCCGATTCATAAGAGAGTGTTAAATAGGAGGTCAATTGGGAGGTTGCCAATTTCCAGTATAAAAGTTGTCTTGAGTTAGCTTCTTTCATGTGTATTTCACTTACTGCTTTGTTCATTTCTGGTAGTGTTCGACTATGGTTACCGAGATTACATTCTTTCCTGGTATGGGAACCTCAGCAGAGATGAAGGACAGCTATACCATCTGCTCTCCGAAGACTTTTGGGAAATTGCCAGACAGCTGCGCTACAGACTAAGTCATGTGGATATGGTTAAACTTGCCTGCAATGATGTTGTGAGAACTTTACTCACTCATTTCTGTGACCTGAAAGCTGCTAATGTCAGGTAATTGTTATAATTTGACAATTTTTCCCCCTTAAAATAATTTTCTTATTATTAAATAAGGGGTTAAAATCAAGACAGGTATGCCTCTTGCTTGGCACTTGTCTTGGATATATAAAGAGATATTGAGGAGGGATGATTATAGTGTTATGACATTAGGGGTAGATTTATAAATTTCTTATAGAAAATCACTTTATAGACATTTAGTTTGTAAGAACCTAGAAAGTGCTTAGGAATAGAAATTTTTAACTACAGTATTTTATTCTGTGAACAGTGTCAGTCAGTCAACAATTTTAGAAATATTTAAATATAGTTCTTTTTTGTGTGTGTGTGAGTCCTATATTAGATCTGTTGTGTGACAGTAACTTGAAAATTGATTTTTTTAAAAAATCTGATACTGAAGCTTGTAGGCTATAATTAGAGAAAATTTTTCAGTGTGAAAATAACTAATATTCAGGCATCTTAACCATCCTTACATTTTTTGAAAGGGGCTGTGTGTAGCTATTAGGTGAATCTGCCTATGGAAGAAGACTTCAAGGCTATTTCTGCTATAGAAAGCTCTCACTTTCTTAGGTTTGCTGATAGGGCCTCAAACATATGTCTTATTCTTGTATACATGCAAAGATGGTGAATTGTAGCACTTTCAACTTGTGCGTAAAAAATAGTCTTATGGAAAAGAATATACTTTTCCCAATATTGTGAAGTTTGGGTTTGGACTCAGTTGAATTAGGCTAGGACTGTCTCCCATTAATGTGTCTTATTTTTCACTAATACTAGTATGCCTCTACTTTCAGAGATGAGGGAAAGATGAGTAAGCATGGACGTTCTTAATTGGCGGGTTGTAATCCATTTTCTCTTCTACCTATTCTGCTCTTACAGTGGGACCTGGTTGCCAAGTGTGCAGCTGATCTTCACTTTGTTATACTGCCTCTACCCATGAATTGACTTCTCGCCTGATACCTACTTAGGTCAGGATTATGAGGTCAAAATTTAGAGTCATTGAATGCCCACTTCTTCCATTTTATTGCCCTGGTCGATCAGGGTTTTATAAAGTGTTCTGGGGAGTGGGGAGGAGATAGGGCGGTGCTCAGTTTCATGAAACAGTACTCTTATACTACCTGTAATAATTTTGATAATTAAAAAAAAAATCAAATTTATGATTTTTTAAAATGTTATTTTGAGACCAACTAGATTGATTTTGTTCCTTGAGGGTCATATAGCACATGGTTTGTAAAACATCACTGTAGAGCAGCAGTTTTTGAACTGTTTTATCTCAGGGTCCCTCTACTACCTTAAATTATTGAGAACATCATTAACTTTTGTTTATGTGAGCTGTATCTGTTGATGTTCTGAATCTAGCTTGCACTGGCTGATTGTTACATCTCTTCCACACCCTGAGTTCAATGATAATACCTTGGTAGCTTGAAATTGCAATGATGAGAGTATTTATGTCACAGAATTTACAGATGCTTCCCCCCGACCCCAGCTTGGAGATCCAGTGGTTAAACATTTATCTGCTTACCACTTATTATATTGATATTTAGTGCATTCATTAGAAATTAAAACTATGAAAGGTTTGAAGTACAGTTATACGGTATTCTTTCAGTTATCCACCAGTACAGTGATATCATTACAGGTCATATAGCTTCTGGAAAATGTCACTCTATGCTTGTGAGAATGAGAATGAAAAAGACAAGTGACATTTTCCTGTTGCTATGAATATAGTTTTGACTTTACAGACTCCCTGACAGAGTCTTGGCAACTGTGAGGATTCCCTGTACCCTTTGAAAACAGGTGTTTATGTATGAATTAGGAAAGTGAGAAAAATAGAACTTCTGGCTTACCTTCCTACAGTCTCTAAATCTTTAGCCTCGCCTTTTGGAAAGTTCATCAATCAGTAAGCTGCTGTGATATCATTATATAACGTGTTCCATGGCTCTGCCTCTGATAGACTTTGTCAAAGACTTATTTGACTTCATTTATTGGCTCATTTTAAAGTCAGGTTTTAAATTATGGTCCAATCAAGGACAGTATTTTACTTCAGTGCCATATTCCAGGTTGATGACCTATAGATTTAGGCACTTGGTCAGAGAAATGTAGTCTTTCTATGATAATCTAATTTTGATATGAAAATACAGTTTTTATGAGAAACCTACCTCTCTGAAATTGTTGCATGTATATATAATATAGTATTTATAGATAAAGCATCAAAATAATGGAAACAGAGCTAATTCCGTGTTAGAAGCTCTTTCTCTTTGGTCTTCCAATTTTCTTATGTCATGGGTAGTTTATTTTACTGATAGCTAGGCTATGCCTCAATGATATAGTTGATGATAATTAATAATAATAATTTTAAAAGTACCACTGTTCTCTGGGATCATGGATCTTTGAAGACGTGCCAGTGTGGGTCATTGGCATATAGATAACTGTGCCCTGGAGGAGAACCAGTGTCTGATGGCACATCATCTTACACAAAGGCCACAATGAGACTAGCATAGAGTGAGGCTAGGATTGATGGCTATTTTGGTATCTGCCTTGCCCAAGTAGACAGTGCCCTCAGCCTAGAAATTGCCTTTGGTGTACAGAATTTTCAGCTGCAAGTTGAATTGACCCATATCAGACAATAGAAAAACAAATTGCTTTAATAAAAGTAATGCATCCTCTGGTTAACTGTCAGGCAGTTCTGTTGAAGCGGTTTTCCGGTGAGCCTGTATTTATTTTCAGGGCCATCATTTGGTTCTGCTTTAAGCCAATCCAGATCACATCTAACTCATGCCTCTGCTTCCTTTGTCCCATCTGTCTTGTTTCAGGGAAGTCTCAAAATGATTGTTTTTATACTATTAAATCTGTAGCGTCTTTAATTTCATAGTCTCTTGAAAATCTCTGCATCTTTTTTGTATTAACCACCGGCATGCTATTTGAGAGGAAGAAAAAGAAAATGTTTTTATTCACGTATTTCCCTTCTTCTGCAATTTTTTTCTTCTTATCGTTGTAATCTCTAATTATAATATAATTGAAGAAGTCTGGACTTGAGAGTCAGACTAAATAGAATTTGATAGCTATATCTATCCTCTGTGACTTTGTACTATTTACTTAGACATTCAGATCCTTCATTTTCTCACTTACCAGCTGCTGATGGCAATAACTCTTGCTTGGTATAGATGTGAGGCCTAAGAAATATTATTCAAAGGATGGGGAAAAGCTCAGGGGCTCTGTGGGAAAAGCCCTGGACTGCTAACCACAAGGTCAGTGGTTTGAGCCCACAAGCTGCTCTGTGGGAGAAAGATGAGACTATCTGCTCTTACAAAGATTTGCAACCTTGGAAACCCTGTGTAGGGTAACTCTTAGTTGGAACTTAACAAAGGTTAAGTGGCCTTTTGTTCTCTCAGGGCATGAGTCCCAGAGGTAGGTAGTAGGAATTGCAGTAAACAGATGTTTGGTGCACAGAAACAGAAGAACGATGCTGCAGTGACTAAGCCTACAACCCACCAGAAGGCTAGATACACAGCTGTTCACCTGGTAGTCAAAAGACATGTGATCCTTTATTGGCTCCATGTTCACTGTCTAGAAAATGTCTTTGGATATCTTGCTCATAATTAGCACAGGGATTCCAAGGAAATACTCACCTTTCCATTTCCCATAAATCAACCTCTGGTCTTTGATTTACTTGGAAAGTGTTACCCTAACTCAGCTTTGTTGTTGTTATGTGCCGTGGAGTCGGTTCCGACTTATAGTGACCCTGTACAGGGTTTCTGAGGCTGTAAATATGGGAGCAGAAAGCCACATCTTTCTCTTGTAGAACAGCTGGTAGTTTCACACTGCTGACCTTATGGTTCACAGCCCAATTCGTAACCACTATGCTACCAGAGCGCCTTAACTCAGTTTTAGGAGGTTAAAATACTTGTGGCAGGTTGGCCTACAGGTTCCTTTTATTACCTACCTTCTATGGCACCAGACAGCTAACCACATGGTGAACAGTTCAAACCCACCAGTTGCTCCTCGAAAATTCTAACTAGGGTTGCTTGGAACCGACTTTGCAGTACTTGACAACAACATAGGACAGAAAGGGGACTTGGTATATTTTGAGAGGAGTTTTAATATTATTTAAAGAAGTGGACTTTTTTTTTTTCTTTTTGGTTATGAAATGATCCTTTCTTGAATATTTTCTTTTGTATTTCTTAACTAGCAAGGCATTCCACAGCACCACTGTTGATGCCATCTGTGATGTCATGAGGGTGGCGGTCATCAACGTTGCAGCCCACAGACTGGGTAGTCCCCAGGATCTCTTTAATAATCCCAGAGAATTCTTAGACCGGAGTTGCATCTGATGGGCAATACTAATAATCTCATCTAAAGTGATATTTCCACTGTGCTTAATATTTTTCTGCTGCTTTCTGTCTCTGGATAGTTCTTAACAGCTTTGATGACCAGAGCAGAGGCAGAAGGCACCACCTCAATTTTGGGCCTATCTTTTCTGAAGTTAGTTACAGTTAGTTTCACCATAATCCTTAACCCATTCCAGTCACCAGTTGCCTTCGCAATGTCATCACCAACCTTGTTTGGAGACAAACCCATTAGTTTCACATAATCCTTAACCCATTCCAGTCATCAGTTGCCTTCGCAATGTCACCACCAACCTTTTTTGGAGACAAACCCAGAGGGGTTCATCTTAGGCTAGAACAGATAAAGTCTTGACTTCACCACCAATACACCTCAGATAAACAATTTTGACCTCATTGGGGTTGAACTTGGGCAGCATGGCCAAGGCAGCTGGTGTCGGATGAACTCAGATGCAGGATGACTGAAGAAAGTTGCACATACACCTCCTCACCTCCTCTGATCCAAAAGCTGAAAGCAAAAGTGGATTTTCTTTAGCCAGCCTTCCCTGATAAATATTAACTTTTATTTTTAGTAAAATATTACCTTTAATAGTACTTGATATGACAAAGAAATAGCATCTCTATCTTACTACATTAAAATATTAACTCTAAATGGCAACATAGCTAGAATTTAAAATAATTGAAATTATTTTTTAAAAGGCAATATATAATAGTGCATGTGTAAGGCTTGTTGTGAAATCTTTTTCATTGTTGACTTTGTGTATTAGGGTTGAACTTGTCTAGCTATGTATAGGACACAGAAGACCCATTTCTTCTCTGTGTACATATCTAAGGAACTAATCTCCAAATTCTAGTGCAAAAGCAGTATATGTTCCCTTGTTTCTTTTCCTTTCTAGTATCTAGTGTGCTTCCTCCCGAACTGCTTAGTGTATCCCTCAGTATTGATCACCAAAGAATCCTTTGCATTTTAACTCTTATCAGGAAGAAATATTAGAAAAATTAGCTTCTCAGCCTTTCTTAAATTGTTACTAAGATGCTATGGCAACTACCATGTGACCCAACAGTTTTACTTTAGAGATCTGAAAGCAGCCACCCAAATAGACAGGTAGGTACATCAATGTTCATTGCAGCACTGTTCACAGTAGCCAAGAGGGTGAAATAACCAAAATGTCCTTTAACAGACGATGACTAAACAAAATGTGGTATATGCACACAATGTAATACTACTCAGACATAAAGAAGAATAACATGCCACAAAATGGATGAATCTAGAAAACATAATGCTGAGTGAAATAATCCAGTCACAAAAGGACACATACTGGATAATATCATTTTAATGAAATAAGCAAATATATTATGGTTGTGGTTAAGTGCTATCAAGCTGATTCCAACTCTTAGCAACCCTGTGAAGGGTTTCTAAGGCTGTTCATCTTTGTGGGAGCAGATATTCTCATATTTCTCCCATGGAGAGACTGGTGGCTTCAAACTCTCCTGACCTTGTGGTTTGCATTCAGTGCTTTGCATATAGCCAATGCACACCTTAAGCAAATATATAGAAAATGAAAATTACTAGTGGTTACCAGGAGTGGGTAAGGGGGGTAGGTGGCGGCAGAGGAAGAGGGGATTTTTGCTAAGGGCATTGCATTTGCCTTAGTAGTGGTGGAATGATTTGAAAAAGGATAGTGAGATTGTTGTATAATTTGAAGAATGTAGTCAATGTCACTGATTTGCACATGTGGAAATTGTTGAATTGGCTTATGCTGTATGTATATTTTCACAATAATAGTAATAATGCTATGAGAAAAGATGGTATAGAAGGTTCTGTTCTTTACTGCTCTTCATTCAGATCTCCAAATAATTGGCCCTGGTTGGAAGTGGAATGGGAAGCCCATGACCAGGGTTAGCAAGACTGGTTAGAAAATACTTGTGAGCCTCTTGGAAGGCAGGTAGCCATCAAGTTATATAGCATCCAGTCACGGACCGGTCACTATAAATCTGTAGATCACGTTTAAGGAAACGATTTAGAAAACTTAAAAATAATCTAGCTAAAGAAATACCCTCCTGTATTGTTGCTATGATTTGGGAGTTACATAACTGTTGATGCTACTTGAGGTAGTTCTCATTTGATTTGAACTCCTCAAAGGATACTCCCTTTTTCCCCCTCCTTCCCACCCATGGTAACCACTGAATACTTTTTTGTTTCTATGTAAAATAAAATTTGCATTTATTCTAGTATAAGGCTTTCAGATGATTCTGTTTGAGAAAATTAATAATATTTCAGAGGTGGTGGCACAGTTACTAAAGCAAATGTATTGAAATGTAAGCTCTTTTCCTTTATCCATTTGAATTGCTTTGAGAGATTTCTTTCCTTCCTCTTTTAATCTGTTTATTTATTGTAGACATGAAGAACAGCCAAGGCCTTTTGTATTGCATGCGTGCTTGAGGAGCTCAGATGATGAAGTAAGATTCCTACAAACGTGTTCTCAGGTTCTGGTGTTTTGTCTCCTACCCTCAAAGGATATCCAGTCTCTCAGCTTACGTATAGTGCTTGCAGAAATTCTCACAACAAAAGGTAGACTTACAAAATTGATATTACTAATGCAATGATAATTTTGCAAACTAATATGCTTCATTACTAATGAGATAACACTTTATATGACACCTATGCAGACTGTGTTGTAAACTATGGGACGTGTGAGAATGAAAGTCTTTTCAAAAATTTAAGTTTAAATGTCACATCAAGAGAATGATTTGCCCATACATGCAAAGCTTGAAATTTTTGTGTAATAGATGGTCGTACGCACAGCTCATTCTGTGGCATATTTTGACACAGGGAAACTAGTCCTACGTTCTCCACAGGGGAGCGTTCATCTGGGGTAGCTTTAGAGTTATCTAGGCCAATAATACATGCATTAATGAAACAAAAGTTATATATTCAAACTCTGATACAATATTACGAAAAATACCTTTATTATAAGATTCATTGATATGCCTATGTATAATTTTATGAATTTTTGGATAAGTGAAAAGGAACTGTGCCACAATAAGGTTGTCACTGGCCAGTCTTTTTCAGAAGTAGATTTCCAAGCCCTTCTTCCTCATCTGCCTTAGTCTTTAAGCTCTGCTGAAACGTGGATGGACCCTGCTTATATTTGAAATACCTGTGGCATAGCTTCTAATATCACAGCAACATGCAAGTCACCACAGTATGAAAAACTGATAGACAAGTGGAGGAAACCAATGAAAACCTTATATATAGCTGTTGTTGTTGTTGAGTGCTGTTGAATTAGTTCTGACTCATCGTGACCTTGCATAAGGTTTCCAAGGAGTGTAGTTCATGGTTTATCCTACAGCACCATATTTAATATACTGCTAGGATTTGAGCCCTTTAGATTGGAAGACACTGGGGAAGAGCTGCTTTCAAGATGTTCATTGACTGATGTGGCACGACTCAAAATGAGAAGAAATAGCTTCAAATATCCATTAGTAATAAGAATGTAGAATGTACAAAGTATGAATCAAGGGACATTGGAAAATCTAAGTGAAATGGAATGCCTGAAAATCGATATCCTAGGCATTAGTGAAGTGAAATGGATCAGTATTTGCCATTTTGAAATGGACAGTCATTCTACTATGCTGGGAATGCCATATTAAATAGAAATGGTGTCAAATTCATGGTCAAAAAGATTATTTCCAGATCTATCTTGAAGTACAATGCTGCCAGTGACAAGATAATATCCATATGACTACAAGAAGTCCTGGTGTGGTGATGGAGGACAAGCACTGGACTGCCAACTGCATGGTCAGTGGTTTAAACCTTCCAACCACTCCTCAGAAATCCTCTACTGAGTCAGAACCAATTCAACAGCTCTTACAACACAGAGAAGACCAGTTAATATGACTTGCTCAAATGTAAACAACAACCAACAATGACAAAGATAAAGAAATTGAGACTTTTACTAACTTCTGAAGTCTGAAATTGAACAAACGTTCAATCATGGAGCATGGATAATTACTGGTGATTGGAATGCAAACATTGGAAATGAAGAAGGATCAATAGTTGCAAAATATGGCCTTGCTGATAGAAACTACTTCAGAGATCGCATGATAGAATTCTGCAGAATCAGTGACTTATTTATTGCAAACACCTTTTTTCTATAACATAAGACATATGGACATTGCTAGATGGAATTTACAGAGAAATCAAATAGGTTACATTTGTGGGGACAATATTATCAATCATGACCAAACCAAACCAGGAGCTAACTGTGCAACATACCATCAGTTATTCACACGCAAGTTTATGTTGAAGCTGAAGAAAAAAGTTAAGTCCATTAGAGCCAACATACAAGCTGGATTGTGTCCCACCCGAATTTAGAGAACATTTCAAGAACAGATTTGACTCATTGAACACTAATAACCAAAGACCTGACAAGTTGTTGGATGGCATCAAGGATATTGTACATGAAGAAAGCAAAAGTCATGAAAAATACAGGAAAGAAAGAGAAGACCAAAATGGATGTTGGAAGAGACTCTGAAACTTGACCTAGAATGTAGAGAAGATGAAGTGAACAGAAGAAATGATGTGAAAGAGCTGAAGATTTCACAGGGTCAATGCAAAAGACAAGTGAATTTTTATACTGGTAACCACAGAGGGAAGAGTCCTGGTGTGGCGCTGTGGTTTAATGCACTGGACTGCAAAGTCATTTGAACCACAAGGTCTGTGGTTTGAGCTCACCAGCTTCTCCTAGGAAACCTTACACAGGTTCGCTATGGGTTGGAACCAACTCAACAGCACTTATCAACAACAACCATAAGAAGGAAGCAGGACATCTGTTGTTGTGGTCATTCACGTGAAACAAAGCTTATGATTTGTTGAATGTAAAACTGATAATCTTGACATTAGCCCATCACTCAGTTCATAATAATAATAAAACAGAAAAGGCCAAGTGCAGTATTATAATGAAATGTGCAAAGACCAAGAATGAGTGGAAAACTAAAAGGGAAGAACATGCTCAGCATTTCTCAAGCTGAAAAAACTGAAAAGAAAAAAATTCAAGCCTTTGAAGAATTCTGTAGACAAAATATTGAACAGTGTAGAAAACATCCAAAGATGATGAAAGAAATTATAGAGTGTCACTGTACCCAAAACTAATTGTTGATGTTCATCCATTTCAGGAGGTAGATAAAGAAACCAGTGGTGTTGAAGGATAAAGTCTAAACTGCACTGAAATCTTTGGTGAAAAACATGTCTCCAGGCATTGACATGTTACCAATTTAGATGTTTTAACAAATGAATACAGTGCTGACAGTGCCCAAATGACAACACATTTGGAAGACGATCTACCTAGCCAACCAAGTGGAAGATATCCATATTTTTGCTCATTCCAAAGAATGGTTATCTATGTGAAAATTATCAAACAGTATCTTTATTATCACATATAAGTAAAATTTTGCTAAAGATAATTAAAAATAGTTGGCAGCAGTACATTAATAGAAAATTGCCCGAAATTCAAGCTGGATTCAGATGAGGATGTAGAACAAGGCGTGTAATCACTGTTGATGTCAGGTGACTCTTGATGGCAATCTGAGAATACCAGTAAGATGTTTGTATGTGTTTTATTGAGTGTGTCAAGGTATTCAACTGTCTGGATGTAACAGTTTATGGATAAAATTATTGATAACAAAATGGGAATTCCAGGACACTTAATTGTGCTCATTGGGAACCTGTAAATAGATCAAGAATAGAACATGAGGATATTGCTTTTAAATATGGTTTTAAATCAGAAAAGATGTGCATCAGGGTTGTATCCTTTCACTAAGATTATTCAGTCTATAAGGAGTCCTGGTCACACAGTGGTTAAGTGTTGGGCTGCTAACCACAAGATTGGCGGTTCAAACCCAACAGCTGCTCTGTGGGAGGAAGATGAGGCTGTTTGTTCCTGTAAAGCTTTACAAGTCTCAGAAACCCTAAGGAACAGTTATATTTTGTCTCATATGGTCATTATGAGTGGAATACAGTTGTCAGCAGTGAGTTTATTCCATCTATATACTGAGCAAATAATCTGAGAAGGTGGAATGTATGAAGAGAATCATGGCTTCAGGATTGGAGGAAGACTAATTAACACTATGGAATACTAATTAACAATATGCATTATGCAGATGACACATCCTTGCTTACTGAAAGTAAGAGGACTTGAGGCAGTTACTGATGAAAATCAATGAAAACAAAAATACTTAACAAGTGGGCCAATAAGTTACATCATGATAAATGGAGAAAATATTGAAGTTGTCAAGGATTTCATTTTACTTGGATTCACAGTCAACACCCATGGAAGCATCAGTCAAGAAATTAAACACGCATTGCATTGAGCAAATCCACTGCAAGAAACTTCTTTAAAATACTAAAAAGCAAAGATGTAACCTTGGGCACTATGGTGCGCCTGAAGGAAGTCATTGTGTTTTCAGTTGCCTCTTAAATATGCAAAAGCTGAACAATGAATAAGGAAGAATGAAGAATACTTGATGCATATGAATTATGGTGCTGGCAAAGAATGTTGATTATACCATGGACCTCCAAATGAATGAACAGATCTGTCTTAGAAGAAGCAACCAGAATGCTTTCTAGAAGGAAGTACAGTGAGAGTTTGTTTCACATACTTTAGAAATGCCATCTGGAGGGACCAGTCCCTGGAGAAGGTTGTCATGAAAAAAAGGAGACCCTCAATGAGGTGAATTGATTTAGTAGCTGCAACAGTGGTTTCAAGCATAGCAGTGGTGGTGTGGATTGTGCTGGACAAGGCAGTGTTTCTTTTTGTTGTATACAGGGTTGCTTTGAGTTGGAACTGACTCAATACCAATATACCACAATGTGATTACTATTAAAAATTAACTGTTTTCATGGAAATGATCAACTATGAAAAGAAAAATGAAAGAAAATTACTAAAGAGAATTTTTATTTCAGAACACTTAATAAAGATTGCATTTGAGATACATTGGCTGTTTAATAATTTTATCTAATAAGATACGTTGTCTTATTTATCATCCCAGTATTGGCCAGCTGTTCCTATTAACTGACATAATCAAGCACCAAGAAAAGAGGAATTTTTAAACTTTAAGTTAGTAGGATGAATGTCTAATAGTGTCATTGACTTTTTAAGAGCTTCTTCCCTGAAGTCAGCTCTGTCCATTTGGCAAAATGTCTGACTTCCACATCTGGCAGACTAAACTGGTCCAAACATATGGAGCCTTTTAAAAGAAACAAACAAGAAAAATCAGTATTATTAACTTTGATAGATTTGTTAGCAATTTGGGCGTCAAATAACTCTTTTCTCATGATCACTTCATTTTAAGTCATTTATTAAAATGACCACTTGAATGTAGCAGTAGTTGATAGCATACACAGAGAACTAAGCAACCTTTTGTGTGGGTAGTTTCATTTATGATATGGAAAAAGTTTCCTAAAAGAAGACCTTCTCTTTTCCACAGTTTTGAAGCCAATAGTGGAGTTGCTGAGTGATCCGGATTATATTAACCAAACGCTACTTACCCACTTGGAATACCGAGAACAGATGAATGAACACCACAAGAAAGCCTACACTTATGCTCCTTCTTATGAAGAATTCATCAAGCTTATTAACAGCAACTCTGATGTTGAATTTTTGAAGCAACTAAGGTATTTGGTGTGTAATTATAGCACGTCAGTAACTATTATCATCCACTGCCTCGATTAAAAAAACATGTAGTCAGATGAGCAGAAATAAAGTCTATAAACCTTATCATTGAATAACAACCAAATGGAACCAGCTTCTCCTCCAGCAGTGGAATTGGTTAGTGGCTGCTCAGTTGCATACCTTAGAGACACCCTTGAAGGAGGTGATATTTTGAAATTATAGTAGAGAACATTGGGTTGGCTTTCATATTTCATAGAAACTGCAGAGACCCAGGTTTCAGAATAAGTACTTAAGGAGCTCTGGTAACGTAGTGGTTACGAATTGGGCTG